TACAGGCCTGGCCTCTCATGCCAGCTCTGACACTAGCTGTGTGGTGCAGCTCAGCACAATACCCACTCTGGCCTCAGTTTCTTCATCAAAGAAATGAATAGATTCTACTATGTGCCAGCTCCACTTGGATGCCTGAGAAGCACCTCGAATCAACAGGTCTGACACTGAATTCTTCATCTCCGCTTGCTCAAACTAGCTCCTGTTTGTGTTTTCCCAATAGTTGCTCAGGCTGAGAAGATTGTGGTCCTCCCCAAAGCCTCTTTTCCTTCTACTTTCTATGTCCAAATACCCAATCCTGCCGCCTTAACCTTGCGAACATCTGGAAGCCAACCACTGCTTCCACGGCCACGGCAGCCACACTGGCCTGAGCCACTGTCATCTGTCACCTACATTATTACATCAGCCTCCTAACCGGTTTCCCTGCTTGGCCTGGTTCCCTTACCATTTATTCCCAACAAAGCAGACAGAGTGACCTTTTTGGTAGGAAAGCTGGATCATGAGAAGCCTCTATTCAAAATCCTCTGGTAACCCCTTTCCACTCAAAGCTAAAAAAAAAACTCTTGCAGGGCCAGGATGTAGCTCAATAGTTCAGCTTATACTTAGTTAGCACGCATGAGGCTCTGAATTCAATTCCTAGCATCGTAAAGGCAAACACAAAAACAAACCTCAAAAGCTCATAAAGTCCCCAAAGGACCTGAGCCATCTGGCAGGTCCCTTCTTGTTCCTTGCCCTCCTGCTCTCCTCTCTGGCCATCTGGCCTTGCCAGGTTCAAACACACCAACACCCCTCCACTGCACTTGTCCCAGATGTGTGGACTCCTTCCTCCAGATATCTGCCCTGCTTGCTGCCCTATCTCTGTCAAGCCTTTACTATAATGCCACTTCTCAATGAGGCCTAACCTATCTGCCATATCTAAAACTGCAACTGCTTCTCATCCTTTCCGTAATTGTACTTTCTCTCCTGGCCTGAATTACCATGTCAGGAGACAGGACTTTCCTTCTTTCTCTTTTGTGGTACAAAGTATCCATTCTAAGGCCCCACGTGTGGTAGGCAAATATGCAACCACTGAGCTATACCTTCAGCTCAGTGAAGCGACTTTTTGTCCATTTGGTTTCATTGCTATTAGTGGAATAGTACCTGACACATGGTAGGTGCTCAACGAATATGTAGCCTAATAAAAAGACGCTCTTCCCTCTGCCCTCACACACCCACAGGTACCTTGAAGTCAAACTGCACGTCCATGTACTTCCCAAATCGGCTGGAGTTATCGTTCCGGAGGGTCTTAGCATTTCCAAAGGCCTAGGAGTAGACAGGGGCTATGAGGGCCACCCGGCATTCTCTCTCTGACCTGCTGTCGTCTCAGATGCTGCAGTCCCCTCACCTCTAGCACTGGGTTGCTCTGCAGCAGCCGGTCCCTCACTGCACCCCCTCGCTCCGGGGCCGGGCAGGTCTCTGCATAGAACTGTAGCAGCCGCTTGGTGGCCTCCGTCTTGCCTGCTCCGCTCTCCCCAGAGATCATCACTGCCTGGTCCCGGCGCTCCGTGCGCAGTGCCCGGTACACAGTGTCAGCCACTGCGAACCTTGGGGCAGAGGCTTGTCAGGCGGGGTGGAGGACCAGGGACTGCATAGGGTAGAGCCCTAGAGGTAAGACTGGGGGCCACTCCTATACCCTTGAGGATGGGAATTAGGGTTCCCTCATGAATATGGACGGGTCACTTTCAGACAGAGGACTGAGAGCATCACTCCAGGTGGACATGTGTTCAAGGTCACCCAGGAGGAAGCTACCCCAGCAGGGCTGGAAGGTCATCATTCCAGGGTCATTAAGGTTGGGAGACCATGCCCAGGTGGAGTGATAAAGGATGTCATGACCGTGATCTGCAGTGGAGGCCGGGGGTCCTGCTCAGATGGAGTTGAGAGAGTCATCTCTGGTGGGGCTTGGAGTAACCCTATGGTGATTTTAAATATTTTTTATTTTCTTTATTAAGTTTGTTGGTACATTTTAAATGTACATAGCGATTACTTTCATCATAGGGATCTCAATTCTTCCTCTTTTAACCCTATAGTGATTGGTTATGTATGGTAATTAACGGTGTGTGTGTATGTGTGTGTGTGTGAAAGAGAGAAAGAGGGATGATTTTAGAATAAGGGTTAGATGGGGGATCACTCTTGGAGGGGTAAGGAATAACTTACAGGTGGGGTGGCACTTCATAGAAGCTGACCCCACGGTAGCGCTCCATATGCTGCCGGCTATAAATCTGTAGGTCCCGGTAGGGGTTGACAGAGACCAGGACAGGGCCAATGTAGGTCTAAGAGTCAGGGAAAAAGGATCAGAAGCTTGTCCCAGAGGCACCTGACCCTGGTGCCTCCTTCCCCCCAGCCCTGCCTCTGTGCCCTCAGCCTCCCCCATCTCCCCACTTGGCCTCACATAAATAAGGTTCTCTCTGAAGCGTCGCCGCAAGTTTTCGATGAAGGCGGCTTCACTGGTGAAGTTTTCCAGCAGCACAAAGTCTTGCACCCCCACCCGGTCTCGAGCGGTCAGGGCACTCTCCATGGTTACCCGCACCCCGTCACTGCCCAGGGCCTGCAGGAAATGGGCCATGGGGAAGGGTCAGAGCCAGCAGGTAAGACCACGTCTCTTACCATGCGTGCAGCACCGGGAGGGAATGCAGGGACATGTGGACACAGGACACAGAACACGCTGGCTACAACAGGCCTGGGGCACAGGAGGCCAGTGCACAGTACAGAAAGAAACCACATGGACCTGGACACAGCACATGGCAGCACCCAGGATCCGGCAGACGTAGGAATCAGGCCACAGAATCCTACGAGGGGCTGGCTCTGTGTACACAAAGGTGAGTTCTGAGAAGGAACTCCTCGAACAGCAGAAAGAATGTTATGCTGACCTTGGACAAATCTCCTCCTCCCCCTGCATTGCTTCCTCTTCGGGAGGATCTGAGACCAGGTGATTTCAAGTCCCTTAGCTCTAGGCCACGTGTGACAGGTGCTTTGGAGGACAAACATCCCAGTGAATTCTGCAGGGAGGGCGGGGCCATCTCTTCCTCTTCCACCCCCTAATCTCCAGGGGTTAAGTGTTGTCTGGGGACCAAACAAGAGCTCCTCCCACCAGGACAGGGATTTCCCCAGGGCCTCCAGCCCCAGCTGGACTTAACACCCACACCGGAGGCCACAGTTCTCCCACCCAGGGCTGGGACCACGTCCCCACTCCAGCTGCTGGGCTCCCCACAGACACCTCCTCCACTGGGAATCCTCAGAAGTAGGAGATGGGGGTTTTACCAGGGAAAGCCCAGCTACCACTGTTGGGTGGGGAGCCCTACAATTATAAGCATAGCAAGACCGTCATCCCACACCCAACGCTGAGGTCCCTCTTCGGGTCTGAGGTCTGGGGGCGTTAGGAAACTGACCTCAAGAATCCCAAAGGTCAGAGAACAGTAAGGCGATGGTGGGGTGGGTGCAGATCCCACAGCAGAAACGAGGTCTACTCCGACCACAGATCTCTGGCTGGGGGTCCCCCCCTCCCGGCCTGCCTCTCCCAGACTAGCTCCTCGCCGCCCCCTCCAATTCTGCCCGAAGCGCAGCCAAACACCGCCGCAGCCCCACCCCTTTGCCCTCGGGCAAGGGGTCCCGCGGTTCCCAGCCGTCCCCCGGAGCGCCGTCCGCCGGGGTCCAGGCGTCCTCCCGCTCTCCCGCCTCGGCCTCCTCCCCCGCAACTTTCCGGGACATTTTTTTCCACCCGAAATTCCTGGGCCGCGCCCGCTTCCTGGCAGGGCCGAGGCGGCGCCGCGAGGCGGAGGGACGTCGGGACCCCCGCCCTGCCCGCCAACCCCGCTCACCGACGCCCGGTACCGCATCCTGCCCCGCCGGCTCGGC